TGGGGAGGAAAGGTCCAACAGGATCCTATAGAGCTGAAAATAAAGGGAGGGGACAGCTGACAAATCCTAACCAAAGAAGCATGAATGATTATCAATATCAAACAAAAGTGAAATTAAGGTGGAACACAGGTGTAGAGACAGAACAGGAATACCATGCAACAGGAGCGACCATCCATGGAGCAGATCCCACATCAGCTGCCATCGGTGTAATCTTTCACCATAAAAACTCAACAATGGGGTCACAGAGCTCAACAGTGAGTGTCCAGGCCCCTCTCCCTGCCCAGGGCTTGACCTGGCTGTCCCCCAACTGCTCCAGGGACACAGGGCCAGATCCACCAGCCTCACCCCTTCCTCAGCTCACATACCTCTCCCTAGGGGAGGGCATCCTCTGTTATCTGTGGGCATCTGCAGCCACCTGAGTCCACTTCCTGGTTGAGGGACTGAAGGGCAGCTCTGTGGTGAGCTGGTGGCCAGCTGTGGGGGGTGGGGGGGCACAAGGGGAGAAGGCTAGAGCCGCCTGTGGGCCCCAGCCGGGCAAGGATGGGATGTGGGCTTGTCTCTTCCATGGGCTAGTGCTTCTACTAACCTGCTTCTCTGCCCACAGTCCTCATCACGGGCGGCATTGTGGCCACTGCTGGCCAGTTCACCCAGTGGTACTTCGGCGCCTACTCCATGTATCCTCCCACCGTAAACCCCATGGGGCAGGTGGCACTGCCAGGGGTGGCACTAGAGGGCTGCGAACAGAGATCTATTGCCTCTGGGGGCACCGCACGTCACAGTTTGCAGACAGCTGCTCCCATCCCCTGCCCTTTAGACTCAGCAGGATAGGCTCAGCTGTAGTTTTGGAAGCCAGGGCTCAGCAGGCACTGACTTGTCTGGCGCTGGCAGGGAGTGGGAAGTGTCAGCACCCCCAGGGATCCTTTCTGTGCCCTCTTTTATCAGCCACCCTGTGGGCTGGCTGTTCCAGGTCCTCTGAAACCCAAGACAGGCATCGGGGAGGGAGGTGGAGGATAGGCAGTGAAGTGGCCAGACCCATTGAATCCCATCGGGCTGTTCCCCGCGATGTGGCTCTCAGCAGCGGCTGCACCTGTCTCTCATCAGCAGCGGGGTTCGCTGTGGCGCCTCTGGCTGGGCTGAGCTGTTCCTTAACCGCAGCTTCAGTGTCGCAGGAGTGTTCGTCTGCCTGCTGGAGTATCCCCGGGGGAAGAGGAGAAAGGGCTCCACCATGGAGAGATGGTGAGTCCCCGCCTGCTCTGGGCTTCATCCCAGGACACTGCAAAGCTCCAGCACCAAACCCCTCATCCTCCTGGGCAAACCGAGGCTGGTGCCTGCCTGCACAGCCGCTGTGGCCCATGTCCCTGCGGGAGAGAAGCTGGGGCGCTCTGGGGCAGGGTGGGAGGTGGGGTTGCCGAGTACAGCCATCTGTCTTCTCTCCCTCGCTTGGTCTAGTGGACAGAAGTACATGACGAAAGTGGTGAAGTTGTTCGGGCCCCTCTCCAGGAACTACTACGTCCGGGCCTTCCTGCACCTTGGGTGAGTCCCTGCCTGCTCAGGCTCAGGAGGGCCCTGGAGTAGATCCTCCCTCCTGGCCTGGCTGCCTGGACAGGGGCGCTTGGGGCAAGTGGGGCCCCTCTCAGCCTAGCTTTGTTTTTCCAAACAAAACCCAGGTCCCAGGCTCTGCCAGGGGTTCCCCAAACCCGTACCCATCATCTCTTGCTGAGTAACAGTTCACCCCAAACCTTAGCAACTTAAATCAGGAACAGCCAGGGCTCTGGGGTAGACGGAGCCCAGCTGGGTAGTCCTGGTGGTGACTGCAGAGGCCAGAACACTCCGTGTCCCTGCAGCTGCTGGGGCCTCCCCGCAGCATGTCGGCTGGACCAAGTGCACGGGTTCCAGTATTGTTAGGGTACAAGCAGAGGACAGCTCCAGGGACCCAGACTTAAAAGCCCAGCCTTGGCAGGGCCAGGTGTTCCCTGAGTCCAGGGCCATGGGGACAGCACACTTAAGGTCAGTTTTGTCCTGAGATCTTATGGCCTCTGCCCAAGACCTGGACCCCCTGCAGACCCCCTCTGACTGCTCTCTGAGTCTCCCATCGTCTCCCCCTTTCCCAGGCTGTCAGTACCAGCCGGCTTCCTGCTTGCCACCATCCTGGGGACAGCCTGCTTGGCCATAGCAAGTGGCATCTATCTGCTGGTGAGTGGTGTCTGTGGTCAGCCTGCTGATGCCATGACACCTCAGTCCTTGCAGCCACCTGCAGGCTGAGCCAAGGCCAGGAGGCTGTGTCCTTGTCATGTGACGGGGATGTCAGTGATGCTCCCTCCAACCCCACCCAACAGGTCTGGGTGCCCCCGGGAGGCTCCAGAGAGGGGCTCCTGCCCTCCCCGACTACCTTCCCTGGCCTCTCCCACCCTGTGTGCTCCTGGCTTCTTGACTCATCCTGATGGACACACTGGCTGACCTCCCTGCCCTGCTCCTGGGGGTGTCTGGGAATGTATACCTGGAAGTCACCTCCAGGGAGCTTTCCTAGCTCCCTCCCTCTTGCAAGACTCCCCTCCCCCCCCCCCCCCGATAGGGGTGGGGGCCATGTTGGGGATGGACCCCTGAGACTCCCCCAGGACTCAGCCACTCTGTGTCCTGCAGGCGGCCACTCGCGGTGAGCAGTGGACTCCCATTGAGTCCAAGCCCAAGGAGCGGCCGCAGGTGGGGGGTACCATCAAGCAGCCACCCAGCAACCCCCCACCCCGGCCCCCAGCCGAGGCCCGCAAGAAGCCCAGCGAGGAGCAAGACGAGGCGGCGGGGGCAGGAGTCTCCAGTGGCCCCCAGGAGAACCCCATCCCAGTGACCGATGAGGTGGTGTGACCAGTGCCTTTGAGTACTCCCTGAGTGGCTGCTGTCTCGTGTCGCTTTTCAGTGGGGGTCCCACCCAGACCCCACAGGTACCCCCTTGCCTGCCCTGGGAACCACAGGCCCTCTCTTGGTGTCATTCCCAGAAGCCTATCTTTTCTCAATGGTACCTGAAATCACAAGCATCTTTTGTATGAATCCATGAAATAGTTTCTGGGATTCCAAGTGTTGAGTTTCTACTCTGGCAATGAAGTCCCCAGGCCTGGGAGGAGGGAGTGTGTGCCCCACATGAGCTCCTGGATCTGCCCAGACTCCCCTTCAAGAACCCCAGTCCCACCTGAGCCACTGAGTGAAGAGGGAAAGCAGTTGAGCGAGGGGAGGCCCCAGGGAGCCCAGTAGCCTTTGTTGCTCCCCAGCCAGGAGCCCCAAGACAGAGCCCAAATGGGGGGGAGGGGGGCCTACATACAAGGGTGTCAAGGGGCCTGTGGTTTTACTATCTTGGGGGCTAGAGTGGCCATTTCCTGGGGCAGGGCTGGAGTGTTAGAAGACCCTGGTTCTGAAAGCCCCTTTGACTGGCTTTAGCTCACACCCCAGCCTGGAAGCCCCTTCCTCCTGATGGATGGGCTCTCCAGGCACTCACTCCCCCAGGGTCTGGAAAAGCCCTTAAACCCTTTGCCTCTGTTTGCCCCACCTGCTCTCAGCAAATCCTACTTTCAGAACTGGGGTCCTCTAACATTCCAGGGCCAACACTCCACTGGACCAGCCCTGCCCCAGGAAATGGCCACTCTAGCCTCCAGGATAATAAAACCACTCGCCCCTTGACACCTCTGTACGTAGCCCCACACCCCATGTGGGCTCTGTCTTCATAAGTCTGCTAGTTGTCACCTCCCACTCTGCCCTGGCCCCTGCAGGCAGTTCCCAGCACTGCAGTTGACCTGCTGGCACCCTCTCAGAACCAGACTCCCGCGGTCTAGGACAGATACTCCACTCCCTGCCCCACAGTTACTCCCTGCTCCTCAGCTCCAGCCACACTGAGCACCCTTGACCCTCAGACACAGGCTGCCGTCTCAGCACCTTGCACAGGCCATTTCCTTTGCCAGGAGCACAGACCTCTGGCTGGCCATCCCGGCCTTTGCTCAGATGGCTTCCATGGCTTCCCTGGCCCTCTGTTTGGATTCCCAGCCTCGGCCCCTTCCCTGCATCACTGTCCTTAATTCCTTCACCACCGAGGAGCACTTTACTGGGTGGTTGTCAGTCACCCGTGTGCGGGCAGGCAGAGAGCTGTCCGCTTTGTTCACTGCTCTGTTCCATCTGCCCACACACACACAGAAGCTCATAAGCATGTGCTGATCTCAGTCCTTCCAGGCTCTTCCCAGGCACTTACACACAATAGGCGTTAATCAGTGGGTGGAAACCACAGGTCCCAAGTCAGCCTTGGAGGGCTGGGCCTATGCCTCACAGGCTGCCCAGGGCCCCTTCTACAGCTGCCTTAGGCCAGGCTCCTGGACCTGAACCGGACGCCTCCAGCAGTAATGTGCCTGGATGGGCAGATACGGGGCTTGTGCAATGAGAGCACAGGCTGGGCTGTCAGCCAGTGGGGCACCTGGCCTGGGGTGTTGGCCTGCTTGGTTGCCCCTGGTCTGGCAGGTCACCAGTGGTGGACAGAAGCCCAAGGGGATGCCTGGGCCCTGGGGTGGCCTTTGGAACTGCCTGGGGCTCTGCTGGGGTTGGGGAGCATGACGCAGATGCCCGAAGGTGAAGGCACTCCCCTAGGCTGCAAAGCCACCCCCCTGGGAGTTACCCTCAGAGATGCCTGTCCCAGGGCTGGAGAGGGTGCTCGTTGTCCTTGCATAGGTTTGGCCACACCTGGGCCTGTCAGTAGAGGAGGGCCAGCCTAGAGCACGGCTGGGCTGTGGGAGTGAGGCCCATCCCCGGGCCCAGAGCCATCGCTAGGGGGTATCGCCAGGTGGAAACTATAGGGGCCAGCAGGGCAAACCTGTGCTCCACTCTACAAACTCATTCCCCACCCTGGTCGTACGGGGGTTCCTACATAGACTTCTGGTCACACCAGAATCGGGCTGCAGGGTCGTCTGGGAGCCAGGGCCAGGCAGAAGTGAGGTGAGGAGGCAGTCTGCCATCCGATGCTGTGCTCCAGGGGGTGTTTATCAATTTAAAAACATACCTTTACAATAAATAGTTTTAGAAATACAGGGGTGATGGGAAAAAGGAGCTTCGGGGATCCCAGAGGGACCACCAAGGTGGGGGCCATCAGAACACATTTTCTGTTTTAAGAAGTTATAGAAAAATAGTAACATTCCTTCTAGCTCACTGTCTGTGCGAAAGGTAACAGTGTTGAGAGGGGCTGACCAGCGCAGGGTCACTTGGCCCTTCCCGCGCCCAGTCTTCACTGTTCCTCCCTCAAACTAGAGGCTTGGAGCCCTGGTACCCGCCCAGGGACCCTGGGCGGCAGAAGCAGGGCCACCCAGGGCATATAAATAGCCAATAAATACACATAAATAGGAGGGGCCCTCTGCAGAGCGATCCCCACTGTCCAGTCTGGGAGGCGATCCCCGCCCACAGCACGGGGCCCGCTGAGGCCGGTGGTCACCGCACCACCCTGGGCAGGACGCAGGTGCAGCCGACGGGCACTTTGATGGACTCCACGTGGAAGGCAACGGCCCCGGGTGTGGGCACCCCGGACGCGTCCAGGGAGCAGGGCTGGCGGCGCAGCACCAGCAGGCTCTGGTACAGGGGCACAGAGTTGAGCGCCACTGTCTCGCGGCCGGTCCTGGCATTGATGCAGCCCCTGCACAGACACTCAGCGACGGCCAGCTTCTGTGGGTAGCGGTTCTCGTCCGTGTCCACACTGCAGGGAAAGACTGGTGAGGCCCTCCTGAGAGCCTCTGCAGGCCCCTTCCTCCTTCCCTCAGGTACCCCGTGGCTGCCCACACACTCAGGGGTGCTCCTGGCCTGAGTGAGAGCTGAGGCATCAGGCTGCAGGGAGCCCAGTAAGGGATGCTCGCCCGTGTCTCCCCTGGGAGCACAGGAGCTGGGATAGGGGCTTCCAGGGGCCTCCCTCCCTCCCGCCCTCTGAGCCCAGCCCAGCCCTTGCAGGGGCTCAAGTGAGGGCCCAGATTTTCCCAGGTGACGCTGGCACCCAAGGTCTGAGCTAAGATTCGAGGCAATAGTGGCAAGGAGGAGCTCATCTGATGGAGCCTCACCCTGCGGGGCAGAGCCCAAGCTGGACAGTTCAGGGTGCTCATCCGATTTAACTGGTGAAACCCACTCGCAGAGTCTCCAGGAAGCTGGTGCCCGGAAAGGGGAGGGAGCAGCCCAGCGCCCACAGTGGGGAGCCCAGTGCCCAGGGAGCCCAGCCCTCACCGGTACCGCCAGGGAGAGATGGAGCGCTGGTGGACGTCGGCTTCTAGCACCTCCTCAGACTGCAGCACCGGACACTGGGTCCCAGCTGGGGGCCTCTCCTGCCACCTCCTACGGCCCACTGCCTCCAGGCTGGACACCAGGGCTACTGGCAAAGTCTGCTCCCACTTGGCAGCTCGAGCCAGCAGGTGTGCGGGAGCCTGGCCCAGGGGCAGCTCCTCGGCCGAGTAGCAGCGTGGGTTCCCATGGGCGTGGATGTGGGGGCCTCCCCAGAGTGCGGAACCATGGCGGGCCAGGCTGGCAGATAGCCAGAGCAGAAGCAGAAGGCCAGGGAGGAGCTGGTGAAACAGGCGGTGAGTTGTCAGGGGGTGCCCGGTGAAGAAGGCACCTCGCTGCCACCCTAGCTTGCCCTGTTCTCTGTGGAAAGGTAGGGTATAGCCCACTCTCTACAGTTGGGGAAAATGAGGCCTAGAGAGGCTAGACCCTAAGCCCACGCTCCCCAGTGGACCAGAGCTCCTGGGTCCCGACTCCCTCCTGCCCCAAGATCGGGAGGGGCTTCCTGAGCCCCATCCCGGGCTAACGCTCAGGGAACTGCCAGGCCTTCGGGCCAGATGGCACCATCCAGGTGGGGGTGTGGGGAGAGACGGCTCACCATCTCGGTGGTGGTGATGGCAGCTGGGCTCTGAGCAGCTGGTGTGTGCCCGGTGGCAGTCCCAAGCACACCTGGCTGTGGTTCTGGAGTCACCAGGTGGTAGGCCTGGCCGTGGCCAGCTGACAGCGCCCTTTATACCTCTGGCCACACCTGGGGGAAATCCGGCATCATCGCTTCCTCCTTGGGAAGTGCCCAGGCCCAGCTTCCTCCTTCCCTCCCTTTGGGTCTCCGCTGGCTGTCCCCTCCTCTCAGCCCAGGGAAGGAGCCCACCCCTCACTCCAGACGCCCTCTCATGTCCTATTACTCTCCCTCCTCCACTCAGAGGGACTCCGCCCCAGGCTAGGCACCTGAGGATGGAGTTGAAAACGGGTCCTGCCTACGTAAAAGGGTTGAACTTTCTGTAAAAGGGTTTTTACTGAGCCTTCGCGGCTCGCTTCTCTGATCCCACTGGTATGTCCTTACTCTCTGGACCTGCTGACCTGGGTACCTGGGTGAAGCCTGCTCATCCCACGCTGCAGCAGTGCTCCTCCGGGATTGCTTTCTCCTGTCCTGTCAGGGGACATGAGGCTGGTGCCATTTTTTATCTAAGATGATCACGATCAGGCGAACACCAGCATCTATCTACCTGCACCGGTGGGAGAAGTTCCAGGAGAGACTGGGGGGCTGGGCCAGTGGGCTACTTCAGGTTTGTACAGGGTGGGCAAAGGTAGGTTTACAGTTGTATTCAAAACATAGCTTATGCTTTATTATTACTAATTAATTATTGCATTATTTTTCATATGAACAACTGTAAACCTACTGAAGCCCCACGTTATATTTGGGCATCCGTTTTCTTCCTCTCTCCTTCCCTCCCTCCCTGCCTTCCTTCCCTTTTTTCCTTAAACAAAAGTTCAAGCTAAAATGATTGAGATGGAGGGTATGAAAATGCCTTGAAAACTATTTATTTATTTGTTTGTTTGTTTGTTTATAGGGGAAGGGAGAGAGAAGCATTGATTGGCTGCCTCCTGCACGTGCCCTGATGGGGAACTGATCACCACGTCTTGGTGTACCGGAGGACACTCCAACCAACAGCACACAGGCCAGGTGTGCCTTGGACACAAAGTGCAGTGCACCTGTGTCAGGAGGCTTTATGTAAGGGGGCCCCAGGAAAACCTGCATCCCACCCGCTCAGTGCTGCTGGAGGGAAGAGGGGTGCTGGGGTTGCCTTTGTTATCCGGAAAAGGAGTTTGTAGCCAGATCTTGCAAGGTTTTGAATGTTATCCTGGAGAGGGCTGCCTGGGGTCTGGGCACTGTCCAGGCTGAGAGCCTGTCTCTCCTGGTCTTCTCAAATCAGTCTAAAATGCCCAGCTGAGGAGTCTGAGGAGGGAGGGTGTCTTTCTTTGCTGCTGGCAGGTGCCGGAATGTACATACCATTACATCGCCATTCTCTTTAAATTTGAAACTGCACAACTGATGGGCATGGAGACCCCCTGAGTAAGGGCCCAAGAAGCCCCTGGTCACCCAGGCTCTCCCAGCTTCTCCACTCAGCAGGGTGCGCCTCTGGGCGAGGACTTGCCCTCTCTGGGCCTCAGTATCTGCACCTGTAAGCAGGGCTATGCTGCCCGCCGGGGAGGGTGAGGCTTATTCTGAACGATGGGTGGAGGGGTGGAGAGATGCACCGAGTCCCCAGGATGGCCTCTCCTACTGTGCCGCTACCCGTCCACCCTCTGCTGCGTGCTTCCTGCAATGGGAAGCTCACCCTCTCGTTAGTTTGCTAGGGCTGCCGCAGTCATACAAACCAGGGGGCTTAAAGCAACAGAAAATGATTCTCTCACCGTTCTGGAGGCCAGAAATCAAAAAACGAAGTGTCAGCAGGTTGGTTCCTTCTGGGTGCTCAGTGGGGCTCCTTCCTGCCTCTTCCAGCTGCACGTGGCTGCTGGTGATGCTTGGAGTCCTTGGTTTGCAGACTCTGCCTTCCTGTTCACATGGCCCTCCCCCGGTGTCTGTCTTCTTATCAGGACACTGCCTAATCCAGGATGTTCTCATTTCAAGACCCATACTTTATGTCTGCAAAGACCCACTTCTCAGATGAGGACACAAATCATCACCGGTGCCGGGGCTAGGACTCCAACATAGTTTTCAGGGGGACACAACTGAGCCCAGTACTCCCTCTACCAGGTGGGTTAGGTCAGGTCAAGAGAAAGACCCTCCTTGGGCTGGACTGAGACCTATCCCCCTGCTAGGGCACTTGGATCTCAGAAAAATTCCAGCTCTTTCTTGCTGCCCCCCAAAGGTAGTGTGAACGCTCTGAGGACAGGGATAATGTCCCCAACACCCCCTGCCCAGGTACCTAGGTGCTCCATTAAAACAGAACAAAAGGGAGATAAGCCTGGATGCCCCCATGGGAAAAACAGGGTGACAATGTGCTCCATGCAGGGGCACTAGGAGGCGCATGCTGGCAAGGCAGGCAGGCCCAGAGCTGAGGTGGAGCCGGAGGGAGCCGAGGGAGAGGCCAGTGGGCAGCAGTGCTCTTCCTTTGGGCTGACAAGTCCAGCTGCTTTCATGCAGGTGCTCAATTAGGAAATGAAAAGGCTGTGAAACCGTTGTTTGTGCCTGAGTCCAGCAGGGGGAGCAGGGGGTGTCCCCTGTCCAGGCCAATCCGGTAGGGTGTCTGCATTTTCTGTGTTCCTGTTTCTGTTCTGAACAGCTGACTGGGTGGAGGAAACTCGACCCTGAATTCATACTCATTCTTCCTCACGATGGGCCTCGGGAGCGCTCAGCGCGGTTTCCCCAGAGGCCTGAAGGCTAATTTCTTGGAGGAAGTTGGCCCAGGGACTGAGAGTCAGGGGTTCAGCAATGCCTGCCGAGGCCAGAAGGGCACAGGGCGGACCGGGGCGGTGCCTCATTCTTGGGCTGCTGAGGCAAGTGCAGAAGTCCCAAGTTGGGCAAGACTGGAAAGGCACTGCCAGAGGAAGGCAGGAGGGATCCTGAAGGTGCTGTTGGGAAGACCCCCCTCAAACCACGCCCACCGTGCCACACCCCGATGGCCACGCCCCCAAGTCCCAGAGACACACAACCAAGAGGATGGAGATACAGGAAGAATGTGTGAGGAGATTCAGAAGCAGGAGGAGGAATGGATGGAGACAGGTGCCCAGGAACAGATTGGCAGAGGAAAGGCAGGGGAGAGAGAAAAGGCAAAGGCTAAGGAGGGAAGGCAAAAACAGGAGAACAGGGACAGACACATCAAGTACCTAGGGTGTGGCCCAGCCAGTGGCTCGGAGCCCTTCCCGCGCTGACGGGACAGAAGCAGTCACGTGGGCCTGCAGGAGGGGTTTGCTCCAGGCTCTTTGGGCTCTAGGCTTAAAGTTTTCTCATATCCCGGAGGGAGGCCCACCAGCAGGGCTCAGTTTGCTAATCTGTAAAGTGGGGCTCCCCCTTCCCAACCACAGCCCCAGGCAGCCTGCCTTTGGTCAGTCTATCCCACAGCCCAGTTTTCCTGTTCCCACAGCACTTTGTGCTGCCAGAAATGACCTCTTTACCTCATCCTGCCCAAGGGGGATCCTGTCCAGAGTGGGAAGAGGGGTCCCTGCTTGTTCACCCAGGGCCTGGCCTTCAGCCAGAGCTCCTGGGGCTTATAAATTGGCAGGGGAATTGTCATGGTTCTGGGAAGTGGGCAGAGAGGGGGCAGGTGGAGGCCCAAGATTTGAGGGAAACAGCAGGGGCTGGGAGATGGAAATCAAGACCTGACCCCTTCCTCAAGGACTAGTGTTAGGAGCTTCCAGCCTAGTGCTTCCCAGGTTAACTTGAGAACAGTGCTGTGGCAGCAGACAATGGAGGGACCGAGGGGATGGGACCAGCTTGCCTGAGCTGAGAGGAACAGGACGAGTCAGGCAGCTCAGAGTTCTAGGAATCGGAATAGCATGTGCAAAGGCCCTAGGGTGGAAGAAATGACAGGCAGGTAGGAGGGGTTAGCATCTGCAGTCGCTCTGGCTGTGGAGTGAGGACTGGCAGGAAGGGGATCCACAATGGTCTGGACTTGAAAAGCAGTCTGGTGGACAGGGATGGAACTTGAGAAACCCATAATTATTCCCATTATTTGCAATGTTAACCACCTGTCAGGATCAGTCCTCATTCCCTGGAGGGCAAAAATGCCCAAGCATCCCAACAAACAGCAGAGGCCTCCCTTCCCTCAGCTGCCTGATCTGGACTGTTCTTCCACATGTGTCAAACACAAGGCCCGCGGGCCAAATCTGTGCCGCCAGGCCTTGCAATGTGGCCCACACCGCGCTGTCATCACTGAACTCCGCTGCGTTTCCATCACAATGACAGTTTATGACTGTTCAGTAAACCATTCGGCCCGCGATTTAGGCTGGATTTTAGATTTTGGCCCCTTCTCTGATTGAGTTCGACACCCCTACTCTAGACCTTGGGAGAGGAAAGTTGGCTCCGGGTGTGGTCCTCGCCCCTCCCAAGGCAGCCACCTGCCCAGCCTAGCCCAGGTGAGCTCCTAGTTTAAACCTAGCTTGGGTCAAAGGGACATAGTGCTATGGCTCCAGCCTAGGCATTAGAGGTCAGGATCAGGTCAGCTTCTTGGGACCAGAAGGGGCTGGTGGGGTGAGCAAGGAGGGCTGAGGGCAGACTATATAGTGGGCTCACCTGCGGGCTCCTGGCTGAGGGACAGTTGCTGCCCCAGCTGGACTGCAGGACCTAGTGGCTTGGGGCACAGAACTCACAGGGACAGGCTGACACTCAAAGGTGCCCTGACTCAGTGTCCTTGAAAGCTACTCATTCAGAAAATGGGAATTCCCTTTGCACTTGGCTTTGATCTAATGGCAAACCAGATAAGCCTTTAAAACTTGACTGAAGCTGCTGTGATGTAAGAGGTATCTGATGTCATGTGCTGTGGGAGGGGCACAGACATGAAATGAAAACAGTACACTCAGGAGGCCTGGCTGCATGTCCGGTGTAATTGCCATGTAGCTGTGGGGCAGGGCGCCGTGGAATGCACCCTGTAAGCTGGTCGCAGCTCAGGCAAGAGATGAGAACCCCAGACTGCTGCCTCCTGACACTGGCCCTGCAGGGTCCTTTCAGGCTGGCAGAGGAATGCCATGGAGCTGGCAAAGAATGGGGAAGGGAAGCAGAACAGGAACTGGGGGGCATTTTGTCCACAAGTCCTTATGGTACTTGCTATATGGTAACCTCAGGGTGGCAGGGCACCCAGAGGCCCAGTGTACCACTCTGAGTTTAATTCCACCAGGAAGGACCCTGAGTGAGCACTGGTCGTGCCCTGCCTGGAGATATCAGCTGCTGCTCTCAGAAATGCTAACATTTCTGCCCTAACTGTTTGGCTCAGTGAATAGAGCGTTGGTCTGCGGACTGAAGGGTCCCAGGTTTGATTCTGGTCAAGGGCATGTACCTTAGTTGCGGGCACATCCCCAGTGGGGAATGTGCAGGAGGCTGCTGATGGATGTTTCTCTCTCATCGATGTTTCTAACTCTCCCTCTCCCTTCCTCTCTGTAAAAAAAAATAATCAATAAACTATATTAAAAAAAACAACCAACTGCTGACATTTCTGCTCTGCAATGGACGGACGGAGTGATGTGGGGACTGGATGGTGCATCTAAGGCTCTGAGGAGGGAACTGGCTTTGGGGATGGATGTTACAGCCTGGCCTGAGGAACACCCTTCTGACTTCTGTAGCCCCAGGGCCCTCTGCTGGGAAAGGTGTCCACGAAGCCCCACCAGGGCCAGTCCCACTGGGAAGAAACAGGAATAGCACTCCCTGGGGGCCGCGGCCAGTGCTTGGGCTAACAGGCGAGTGAACAATTCCATTCTGGGTTGGAGGCTCCAGGCAATGGCACAGGGGCCTCTGCTGAACTCCATGTCTTCAGCCTCCAGCAGCCAGGGGCCCCTAAATAACAGGTGGGCCCAGCAGATGTCGTGAGGTGGCTGGGCCCCATGCCATGGGAGGGTAGAGGGTATGGAGCCAAGGCACATGCAAACAGCACCACCAGGGCAAGATAGCTGCTTATCAAAATATTTTTATTTTAGGAGACCCTTCAAAAAAAGACCCTCCACATTAGACAGACGCCCAACAATACCCATGGCCTTTTTTTTTGGTCTTTTCTGTATATTTTCATTTTCAAATCAACTAAAACAATTTGATGCTTAAAATAAAAGACAGGAACTATTTCCCAGTCAGACTTTAGTCAAGAATATATATATATTTTTTTGATCCTAGGGATGGGCAGGGGTGGGGAAGAGGTTGCTCAGTAGCACTAGGTGTTCCTGTCCACAGTAGGAGAGCCGTGTGGTGAGGACACGGCACACAGCAGGGCGCGAACTTGCCTGACTACCAGAGGGAGGAAAAGAAGATGGGGAAGAAAAAATGTATGGGCCGGCTGATCCGGGCATCTGGGACTTAAAATTTACATAAAACTGTGCCATGTCCTCGCTCGGTGCTGTCTGCCTGCCTGCCTGTCTCTGCTCTGGGAAGGACTGGTCAGTGTGGTCGGGAGAAGGCTGAGGTTCAGCGTCATCTTCATTATGTGTGTGTGGCTTCTTTTCCAGCTGAGAAACTTTTTTTTCTTTTTTAATTTTTAAAAAGAATCACAGCCAAAATAAGACATTAACTGCAAAATCCAAAATGGCTGCGCTTACCCTATTTATAAAAACACAGAGTCTTTGCCTCTGGCAGGGGAGCCGAGCCCGCGAGGCCCATTATACTTTCCCGGGAATCTTGGCCCGCTTGCGAGCAATGGCATCCTCCACGGCTTTGAGCTGTTTTAGGAGCTCCTCCCGCCTCGACAGCGTGCTGGCCTTCCCTGATTTGGTGCCCGCGGAGGCGGCGGTGCCGGCGCCGGCGTCTGAGGCTTTACCAGGCACACTTGTGACCTTGCTGGAGCTCTTGGACTGGGGTGACAGTTGACGCTTCCTGTGAGGGTGGGGAGGTTGTTAGAGGGGTCCAAGTGCCTGTCTCTCCCTGCTGAGCTTCCTGCCAGGTGGGGGACACGAGGCCCAGTCTGGGGACCTGGACCCTGTAAGCTATACCTGCCAGGTACAAGGCACCCTCTCAGTGAATGGTCAAGAAGTGTTGTCAAGCCAAACCCTGTCCCTCCTGCTTCTGGGCTTTGTATGCAACTTCCCTCTGTGGCCATACTGCTGACTTAGGAGGGCCCCTGAGGTCTTGGGCCCATGTGTGTGTGGAGGGTTGTACCGCTCTCTGAGTCCTATGCCTGACCCCCCATATCCTCCCTCACCCAACCGTTGACCGTGAACTGTATGGTGTAGGGGCACAGGGACTCAGAGCTGACTTCCTGGGGAAATTACTCTCCTACTTCCTATGCCTAAAATGGAAGATAAAAGAGCTGTGACCATCTGCACCCAAACTGACCCCCCACCTCAGGCTGTGAACAAAGTGCCTTAGGCTGCTCCTCATTCCAGGACCCAATGCAGGAAAGGGGGGGAGGGTGTAGAGTGAGACATGTGTTTGGTTTCTTCCCCCCAGATCTAAGACATTCCCCAGGTACCTCTGGGTCTGCGGAGCAAAGGGGCCAACGTAGAATAGCCATGGCGCAGGCAAGCACTCACCTGTCTGGCAGGGCCACGGGAGCCTTGGAATTCTGGCCTCTCTGCCGTTCTGGCTTGGGAGAGCCCAATCTCCCACCTGACTTCCGGTCCCGAGAACCTGGGATAACGTAAGACCAGGGTCCCAGTTACATATGGTCTGGTGCAGCCTTACTGATACTAGTGCCCCCATTCCAAAGAGCTGTGACAGATCAGCACAGCTTCCTCATTTTTAAAGGAAGCAGCAGAAGGGCAGAACCAGTGAGAAAGGAGGAAGGGGAAGCTCTGATCATGTCAGAATGAGAGCCCAGGAAAACCCCGAAATCGGAGCTCCAATTTGGGCTAGCATCTAAACAGACACTGAGCAGCCAGACTTCACTAACTCCGAGCCCCTGCCCACTCACTGTGCCCTCCTTTCCCACAGCCCAGGGTGGAGTTTCCAGAGCCCTCGTGTTTTGTACTATCACAGGAGATGCGAACCCCGCCATTATCTGCCAATCAGATGTTAAAGAAAAACAACAATGCCACTCCTAGTTATTTTTCATGAAAAAAAAAGTTATTTGTGTTCAAATAGTACAGTTTATAAATAAATATTAAAGCCCGGCCTGTGTAGCTCAGTGGTTGAGTATCAACCTATGGACCAGAAGGTCACGAGCTAGATCTCCAGTAGGGGGCGTGCAGGAGTCAGTCAATCAATGATTCTCATCATTGATGTTTCTCTCTCTCTCTCTCTCGCTCTCCCTGCCTCTCTGAAATTAATAAAAACATTGAAAAAAAGTAAAACTTTTTCTTAGTTTTAACTTCTAATACTGTGCTGATAATTCACAAAACCAGAGAAGTTCCTTGGGGCCCTTATTTTAAAATAATGGATGAGGTCCTAGTCCCTCCGCCCATAAGGCCCCTGCAGGGATCGAGCTCACCTCGGTCTGGGGATAAGTTGGCCCGCTTGGCTGGAGGAGGGCTTAGCCTGTCCTTGTCTGAGGGCTCATATCGCTTTCTGCTCCCTTTATCAGCGGCCTGAAAAGATGGAGGGAGCACAGTGAGGACACAGGGTCTGAGCTACTGGCCACCAGGCAAAACTCAGTGAAAGGAACATAGTGTGACATCCTCACACCAGGACCTGCTCCCCTCATCTGGCTCCCTCTTCGCGGTGTGAGTGAAGCGAGCAAGGTGCATGGTTTTGGGGCCTTCATTTTCTGCAGCAAAGATGCTGTGCTCACTGGGGGGCCGCGAGCCAGGGATGGGACTCTAGCAGACTCAACCTCTCGCCCTTCAGGTCCCATGGGGCCCTGGAAACATCAGCTCACAGAAGCCAAGTTTGCTTTGCTCTGTCCCGGTGCTGACTTGAGGGGACTGGCCAGCCCAGGCACAGGGAGGAGGGCGAAGAGTGCGGGTTCTCGGACAGGGAGAGCATCCGCCAGGGGATGCTAATGCCTCAGGACATGCTGTAGAACCCGTCCACCCTATGCCCACACGCCTCTCCGTTTCCCACAGGACTGACCATCAAGGCAGGCAGATGAGCAGGGGTGACACCTGGCCACCAAGTTCAAATGGCCACTTGGTCCCCCCTTGGTCTCAGTCCCAGGATGAGCCGAAGGTAAGTGGCTCCCTGGAGCTCTCACCAGGTGTGCCCAGGGCCTCACCTTAT